CAGAGAGAGAGAGCGCAGGCCGGAGCGCGGAGCGGGAGCAGAGAGAGCGCGGAGCCCAGAGCAGATGAAGTGAGGACTGGAGCGCAGAGCAGGAGCAGAGAGAGAGAGCGCAGGCCGGAGCGCGGAGCGGGAGCAGAGTGAGCGCAGGCCGGAGCGCGGAGCGGGAGCAGAGTGAGCGCAGGCCGGAGCGCGGAGCGGGAGCAGAGTGAGCGCAGGCCGGAGCGCGGAGCGGGAGCAGAGTGAGCGCAGGCTGGAGCGCGGAGCAGGAGCAGAGAAAGCGCGGGCCGGAGCCCGGGGGGACGTGTTTTGGAGTCCGAAGCAGAGGCTGGCACGTAGAGACAGCGAGGCCTTGTGTTCTAAAGCCTGGCGGGCACAGACTCAATGCGAAAGGACTATAACTTGAGTACTTTAAAGATACTTTTTATTATCATTCTGGACCTTTTAAACCCTGTATTCCCACTCTAGTCTTTTTTTTTAAACTATTTTCAATTCTGTAACAACACTTAAAGTATCTGTATCTAGGTACCGTGTACCTAAGATGGCACCGAAAGGTGACATTACAAACTGTTCACTGCATCGTTCCAGCGCGCATGATAATAAAGACCATTTCATTCTATTCCATACTGTGAGGGAAAATACTCCGAGTTCAGAAATCACCGGCAACAGTTTGTCAAGCTATACTTTTATATATGTTTTAAATTATTCGTTCATGGTTGTGGTGGAGGGCCTGGCATTTATTGTCTGTCCCTAATTGTCCCCTAGTTTGCTCGAGCCATTTGGGGACAGCAGTTCAGAGTCAACCACATTGCTGTGGGTCTGGAGTCACATGTAGGCCAGACCAGGTAAGGATGGCAGATTCCGCTCCTCCCAATGGGACATTAGTGAAACCAGTTGGGATTTTAAACTACAATTTCAGGGATACAGGATTTGAACCCATGTCCCCACAGAATTAGACTGGGGTTCTTGGATTACTAGCACCAAGGACAATAGCACTATGCCACCACCCCAAATCAAACTTAGTATCCTGTGTGTATTTTCTGTTTAGAAATGTTAGGACTTGAACTGAGACTTCCTCAGCCAAAGGTAGGGACACTACCACTGTACCACAAGGGCTCCTAAGCTCATTGCTTTATAAAACTTATAGCAAATGCCGAATGTCAATGTTATTCCCTCAGAAGTCGCATTTACTGGTTCCAGATTTGTTACATAGCCTCAACAGTGTTTGGAAATACTAGGCCACGCTGAATGTGATACTGAGAGAAAGACTTTTTTTTATATATAAGTGTTATCACGTACAACTAAACAGCTCTCCTACCACCAAACCTCCATGACTTTTTATTTTTGCTTTTCTTAACTACAGCAAACTTTGTTTTAACTAGCATCTTATGAACTGGCACTCTCGATAAAAATTATATATCTCAAATACCACAAAGTTTATTGTCTTATTCAGTCCAATTATTATAGTTATTTAATTCATTTACCTCAATGTAAATATATTTATTGTTCAATCGAATGGCCACTCAAATTTATCAACAGTTGATTCAATTTCAAGTCAGTTTCACCTCAAATATTTTTGTGAATCCATCTCTGCTCCTCTTTGACTCGATGCCTGTTTTCTTCGCGAAAAGCATTATTCAATGTGAAAGGGGTTGACTAAATACACTTTATCGACGATGACAATGACGAATGTGTAGTGTACAACCAAAGCAATTTGGGGTGGCATGATACTCTGCAATATCCAAGTAGTCAGCTGAGGGTGTGAATGAGAAGGCTCTCTGCTGGTAAGCTTTATTTAAGGGAAAACTGCATTATTATTGAAGCGATTTGTGCTGTAAACAGTGTAATGGTGTTGCGTATGCCCCTGCATTACATTCCAAGTACACAGTGTGTGCTTTTACATTGATTATGTGGACCTGTTGGTTATCTGGAACATTTGATCAATAGGCCCATTCCTGGCACCTACAGGTGTCAGTCAATACGAGAACAAAAACAAAGTTGCTGGAAAACAGAGTTAACGTTTCGGGTCTGGTGACCCTTCCTCAGAACAGGTAGGGTCTGTTCTGAGGAAGGGTCACCGGACCCGAAACGCTAACTCTGTTTTCTCCTCCACAGATGCTGCCAGACCTGCTGAGCTTTTCCAGCAACTTTGTTTTTGTTCCTGATTTACAGCATCTTCAGTCAATACAAGGTTGGCCGTATTAACCATCATCGGTAACTACCCATGTAGACTGGGGAAGATTTCAACTTTGTCCTAAAATGCATTTCAGGTGATTGTGAATCAGCACTCTGGTCTTAAATCACCTCCTGGTTTTTAACTTCCATTGAACACTCCTAATAGTTCAGATTCAGTCAATAGAAACCATCTAGGATCTAATCTGGAATTAGTTAGCGATCCTGTTAAATAGCTGAGTGGAGTCCTTCCTGCTGCTGAGTGCAGGTTTAGCTGAGGGGAGTTCAGAGAGGGCTGGTGCATTGAGGTTGTAAATGGCATTGTTAAACCAAAATGTTGCAAGTACAGGCACTGTGCAACCAGGTTTTGTGTTAATTGTGTCAAGTTAACTTAAAGGGCTCCAGCTTCCAAAACCTATCAGTTCACCCTTGCTTAATAGTGAATTTCCTACTCCTGTGCTAAGTAGATCCAGGATGTTATGTTGTGAATCATAGAATCCCAACAGTGTGGAAGCAGCCCATCGATTCCACATCAACCCTCCAAAGAGTATCCCACTCAGACCCACCCCCTACCCATCCCTGTAACCCTGTATTTCCCATGGCCAATCCACCCAACCTGCACATCTTTGGACAGTGGGAGGAAACCCACACAGACACGGAGAGAACATACCAACTCCACACAGACAGTCACCCAAGGGTGGGATCAAACCTGGGTACCTGGCACTGTGAGGTGGCAGTGCTAACCACTGAGCCACTGTGCCACCCCAAATTGCTTTGGTTGTAGACTCTACACATTTGTCATTATCATCATCGATAAAGTGTATTCATCCAACCCCTTTCACATCGAACAATGCTCTCTGAGAAGAAAACAGACATCGACGGAAAGAGGAGGAGAGATGGATTCACGAGAAAGGAGAATGGTGCCTTGGGGACTATAGGATTGGAGGAGGTGGCAGAGATCAGGAAAGGTGGGGTTGGCACCTTTGAGCGATTTAAACTGAGGGAAGAGAATTTTAAAGGCGAGCCAATGTAGGTTATTGAGAACA